AGCATGTGGATGGGACAGCACTATTCTGCATTGTCAGCAGAAGCCTCTTGGCACTAGCCAGTGGGCAGACTTGGGGATCCATAGCCAAAGGTACAGCTAATCTAACGCCACCTATAAAATTATCTAAGTATTTTGGTGCTATGCCATCATCCTGCAATGAAACAAACCATCCATGCATGCGTGGCAAGGATGCCAGTACGTGCTGGAGCTGCTGGTCCCTTGGTATGGTGGGGAGACTAACCGGCTCTCAACAGGGACAGTCACACCCACACAACAAATCTGTGCAGCCAAAAGACGTCCCAAGGATTCCAGGACAAATTCCAAAGCCAGAACCACTGCATGGGGGTGTGCCATAAAGAGTACAGAGAGATTCTGGCACTGCCCCAGAGAGCAAAGCGTTTCCCCCAGTGTGCAAAGTGAAAAGTGTTTCCTGCAGGAAAGACAACTCATCTGGTATAGTGCCACTGAGAGAATTGTTTTTAACGTTAAGCAAACCCAGAGATGGGAAAAGCCCAAACTCAGAAGGAATTTCTCCAGTGAAACGGTTGTCTCCCAGGGCGAGGAACTCCAGGTTGGTAAGGCTAGAGAGTTCACTAGGCAAATTCCCCTGTAGAAGGTTGGAATGGAGGTGAAGGTGTACAAGTTTGGAGAGGGATCCAAGCTCACTTGGGAGAGTCCCAGAAAGTTGATTCCCCAGTAAGGCCAAAAATTGTAGCGATTCAATTTGTCCCAGCTCTGGTGGTATTGCACCTATATGCAAGGAACAGACAATTGGTTGAAATAGGGAAGGGAATGAGCACTCAACTGGAAGCAGCAAAAATCTGCCCATGGCTAAGGGACACTTACCAGAGATGCCACATTTCTCCATTTCAAACACCCTCAGCTTAGGCAAAGTGCCAACAATTGATGGGAGTGTTCCTTGTAGCTTCTCATTGCAACCAATCATAAGGAATGCTAAGTTGCTTAGTTGCCAGAGTTCATCTGGAATGAACCCTTCCAGCTTGTTGTCATATAATACAAAGGCTTGCAATGTTGTCAAGCTTCCAATGGCCTTTGGTATTGATCCAGCCAGCTCTGTAGAGAAGGCAGCAAACCCTTTCAACTCACTCAGCTGCCCAATGTGGCTAGGAATTGTACCATATAGATGATTGAAACCAGCAGATATGGACTCAAGGGAGGTCATGCTGAAGAGTTCCTCAGGCAGAGAACCCACAAGGTTGTTCTGGTCCATCCAAAGGTGGTGAACAAATCCTTGAGCATCACAATGCATCTCTCGTAAGTGCTGCAGAAAACTTGACTGGAGCCCCGGGTATACCTCTATAATGGATGACTTGAAGCCAAATTCTGGCTTTTGGTACCAGTCACATTCATGCACATTGTAGCTTCCCCAGCCTGTGTTGTTGAGCCATCTGATACCAGCAGTGGAATAGAAAATGGTCATCAGAGCATGCCTTTGAAGAATCCGCCAACCTGGATATTCATAGACAAAGGGATCCTCCAAAAGCCATTCAAATGCCTGGTTTTGGGCCGAATCCTTGTCTTCCATTGCCTTGATGGTGTGATCTGGGAGAAAGGATAAAAGAAATGATTCCATGGAGATTGGGGCCATTGATGGTGCCTCAGAAGGATACCGGTAGCTGGTAGCAGCTGCTGGTGCTTCATCTGTGTCTAGGAGGAGGAATACAATAATGAGCACAATGATGATAATGAAAAGCAACCCTGGCACTACAACACTGGAAACGAAAAACTCTGCCAAACAATGAATTTGCTCTGTAGTTTCACTCTACAGAAAGCGCAGAGTGATCTGCCAGAGTTTTGGCTAAGTAATGAGTTCGAACCAGCCGCAGAATGTATGTGACCCAAGTTGGCATGACAGGGAGGGCAGGCGCATGATTCGATCCTTGCACAGACCGGGTATACTACTATCCATACATGTATACCTATATACAATTATAACCATAATTTAACGGTCCCATGAGAGAAATTGTCACACTCACAAAGTGCACGAAAAGGAAATAATTAGGCCCTCATGGAAACAAAAAACGGACAAGGCCGCACCGACGAAAGACATATGTGTATGCACGAAAGAACGCACCAAAGAAGAACATATATCGCCTCACTATAGTTTTAGTTAACTATCAGGTCTATATATATATATAATCCACCTCAAATCTTCTTGGCAAGCTAGATATCTTTTGGCATGATGGTGATTCTTTTGACATGGAGGTTGCTAAATTTTTGTATTCTAGTCACGCAAACTACTGGTGCACTACTGCCTATTCGAAGCTGCTCAAAGCACTGCTATGCTAGCATTGCAGGAGGCTGAGGAATTTTACATTGTGGGGTTGTTATTCCAAGATGCATACATTTGTTCTATTTATGCCACACGAGTCACTATGTTTGCAAAAGGATATTCAGCTCACTAGGCGCATTAGTGATGAGCGTTCCTAAAGTCATTCACGATAGTGCCCTTCCGAATTATATTTGCTATAGCCATAGAATACAGTAATCGGCGAGTTTGCCATAGCTTAATGTAATAAGTTTCCTTTAATTTCAGCTTGAACTAACTGATTTTTGGGCTCATGATTCTAGTCACAAATGGGTAACTTATCGCATGATTAATATATTCCAATATATATTTAAAACTTAAGCAAAGATATAGCTTAGCTGGATAAGTGCTTGGTAAGGTACTGGGTTTGAGTCCTGGTGTTTCATTGTTTTTGCTTTCACCAGGATCATGCAATCTGGTGGATCTTGAATCTGGTAGGAGCTCCGGGATTTGAGCTGCCAGATCCGTCCTCCAGAGAGTCAAACAGTCCGTAGCTCCTGATGAAACAGGGGCTGCTGTATCCAAACGAAATATTGATTCCCATGCACGAAATATTGATTCCCATGCACTCGACATTTTCGTCAGTCAGTCTGCCAAAAATGAGGCTAGCATGGATCTGTTCACTCGAATATTGACTGCTCTCATTCGAAAGTTTCGAAGTGCCAAAAATGAGGCTAGCATGGATTCGTCGACTTGAATATTGACTCTCACTCGACATTTTCGCAAGTC